TTTTTTTTGTCAGAAATCGAAAAATGGTCAGGACCCCCCTGACCCCCTCCCCATCTAGAACCGCCACTGGTATACTGCATGTATATATAATATGCTATGACTAAACCCTGATTTCTTAGACTACATGTATGTATCTTTACAGCGGAATGTGTCCTTCTCCAGCCTCAGGACCCAGAGTATCTGGAAATTTCCCAGAGCCGAGAGTTCCGAGGAAGACTAATTGAAAGAGTAAGAGAGTCAGAACTGTTATTTCATATGCCGCGAAATATAGTGCAGATTCTATATAAATTAATGTAAAGTTTTTCACGTAAACAAGTGACAGGTGTTTGAAAACTTAAATGTAGTACATGTACCAAAATTTAAGATAAATTTACTATTGTGAAATATCGTGTGAGAAATGTTAAAATGTATAAGTTAAAATTTACAAAACTGTGATATAAAAAAGCGGTATACAAGATGTGGGCACTTTGCAGTGGCTTGGTCGACCCCAGATCAACGGTTTTTCTAATTTTAATTTTGTTAGGGAATGGAGCCAAAGCAGACGTTCTGCCTCAGAAAGTAAGCCTCCTCTTGCATGTACATTGTGAACACTCATAAAATGAAGTCACACACATCTCGTTTTCAGATCGAGCGGCTGCCTCAACCTATTCCCTTACAAACATTTTCAAGGGATGTACCAAGGGATGTAGACCTAGCGCCAGAGAGATACGTGGCGGCCTCTAGTCAGCCTAGACCACACTTGAGACGCTCAGGTCAGAGGTAGTTTTATTAATCCCTGGTGGTTGTTTTAAGAAATAAGTGCAGAATTGGTTTAACGTTTTGCACTGAAAAGTTCCAGGATAAGTAAGCAGCAATCCGAGAGAAAGACGGAGATTGTTTCAGACAAATACTTCCTTTAGGTTAAAGTTTAATTTGAACACGAAGGACAAAGAATCAAAAACAAGATCAAAATCTTATGTTAACGAGTACTTTGTGCGAATTAGGCCCTTACTCTAAGCTATTAGGTTAAAGTAAATTTTGTATCGTTGGAGTAGATATGAATGTTTTTGTTTATATTTTTTAATTAATCTATCCAGTTATATAAGTAAAATAAAACAGACTGAGACAGACTGAAGTCATAGTTTTATGAATTGAAAGGTACAAGCAAAGCAACAAATGAAAATATACACAAAGTGAAGTGACTGATTCCAATAAATTTGCGAAATATTGGGTGAGAAAATGTTGGTATTAAGAACTAAACTTACAATATAGACTTTGAACTGTTACAGCATTTATTTTCACAGAGGCCGGGCGTCCAGAAAAAAAAACATTAAGTGTTTTTGACATGCTTTGGTATGACCCAACAAACAAGACAATCCTGATATTCAGATATCCCTTAAGTATCAAGGACTCGACATACGATATATACTTAAAGATTCACTTTTACAGAGAGCGGCGATCATGAAAGTTTCGGTTTCCGCGAGGAAGGAGGAATGTCTATTCCATACCTGACCGAGAGCAGCCGAGAACATCGCAGTATCACTCTAACCTCAGTGCTCATGGGGAGCATGCGTGGTGACGACAACGTGACGTCAGACGATAACGTCACAGAGGAGTCGCAGGCGTCCTCCAAGGAATCCACAGCCACTGTCTCCACTGTTTCTTCTCTGCATAGCTTGTCTGATCCAGAAATTGAAGGTGAAGACATTCAGGAGGAAAAAAATGTCGCAGCAGCACGAGGTGATCTTTCCATGTTCACTTCATCTGACGGAAAAATTTTAGTTTCTTCTTTTACAGAAAGCACGAGGTCTTGGTATAGTGTACAACTGGCCAATGAAAATAATCGGAAAAAGCCACAAAATAATTAAGGCATGCTACACAGTCACTGTGATTTGATTGATTAGAAAGCAGGTGTGTTTAAAGTCTTACAGGTCGCTGTTGTGGCGAAATTAATAAAGTACATCTGTCTACCACATTAGTCAGTGGCCTTGATACGTTGATGAAGCTAAAAAAGCTAGAAATACTGTAGCCCTATCTAAGATCACCTTTGCGTCTACAAACAATTTTATAAGGTCCCTATATATTTAACCATCACAGTACATTTTTTACTTTATTTGTATGGGTGAATAGAATAGTTTGGCTATACTATTAATCGTAAGGCTACCTCTGATTAAATTCTGCAATATTTGAATAATTCACATTATACATAAAAACATATTTATTGTTCATAGTCTTGTGTGAAATAATACCAGTAGGTTTCAACTTATTCGAAAATCACGAATGTGGATTTGTTATATAAAGCTGTATTGAAGTATTTTAGAATAGTTATATCTTGTAGTTTAGTTGTACTATACGCAGTACAACAGACAGGCCTACCCGACTACCAGACTCGGCACAAAATGATCCTGAATTAACCGGTATATCGGACCACACCACCCGTTTTCAAGGTGTGTGTCAGATCGTATGTCGGAGTATCAGTCAGAACACCGACAGGATTAGCCTGCGGCCGTCCTACAAAATTTGTTCTGGGGTATGATGTTCCGGTTAATTCAGGATCCTTATGTGCCGAGTAGTTGGGTAGGCCTGACAGACATCCATGTGAAATGCAATTCCGCCACGGTTAACCTTTGCTAAACTACGTCTTAGTGATAATAATTTTTACATACAAACTGGGCGGTACACCATGCCGAAAAATGAAAGGTGTGACAGAATTTGTCGCCTGTGTACTCAAGGGGCAATTGGAGAGGGATGCCTTTTCATACTTCAATATATGCCCTATGTATAAAACTTACCGAGAGACAATCTTTACTAAAGTGTCCCTAAAAGCTGATACAGGGTTGTATTATCAGAAAGTAAATCATTCAAAGTGTTTAACAGTGATAAGATAAAAGTGAAAAGAAAATAAAGTCTCCCTTTACAATTTTATAATAAATCCATATAAGGAAATCAGTGAAGTGACTGTTCTACTTTGTGACTCCTAGCATATTTCTTGTATATTTTAGTTGGTCTGCACGTATTATGTTACTTATAATTGTTAATGTATGATGAATGAATTGTGTTTTTGATAAATTTGCAGTAAACACACTAAGCAGTCGTATTTCTCAATTTAGTTAGAATATTTTATTTCTTATCTAAGAAGTACATCTGTCCATTTTATAAAGATATATTTCCTCATTCACATACTGTATAATTATTATTATGTTAACATAATAAATGCATAAAGTCATGTTAATATTTGTACATATGTACCGGTACAGAAATAAAATGAATTAAGTTTATTAGCTCATTCTCTTCATATGCAACATTTTTGTGATATGTTTGAATAGAAGTGAACGTCACAGAAGAAGAAGAAAGAAGAACCGCCACTGACATAAACCCCGAGTTTATTGAATCTTATTACATGTAAGCCTAAGACGGCCGCACTACAATGGTGGATTCAGGGAGAGGGACGCCTTATTTCCAAATTCCTTATCTTAGGTGGATTCAGTGCAGCACTATTGTGCGGTACTTACAAATTGTAACGAATCAAATTGCACAGATCCACTCGCATTACATAAGGTTAGGAATTATTTTTAAGTGAACTGAACAATGCTAAGCATGATCTTAGGCTGTATTCCCAGTGCTTTTAGATCGATCTATCCCCGCGGGGAGTCTGACTAGATTACTGTCAGATAATCCGGCTTAAAAGTCCGTCCCGCCTACTACAAGCTGTAAAGGGTAATTAACTTTCGTGTCCGCTCGGCTGACAGCTATTTAGCGTGAACACCCAGGGAGTTAGGTCGATCTAAAGTAGATCGATCTAATCTCTGGAAATGGGGTCTTAGAAATAACAAGCTAAACATAATTTTAAATATTTTCATGGAGGGACAGCACTTAATTCAGTTCTATTCGAAATATTTTCAACATATCTAAAATATTTCTCAGTTTGGCTATTCGTCAGTAGGCCTATACTTTTGCATGTCTTGTGTAGCTGTTTCGTGACTCAATATTTTTAAATGTTTTTTATTTTTAAAAAATATAAAATATCAATAAGTTTAAGTCTAAAAAACAAGTTTTTACAGATGATTAAATAAAAAAAACAATTTATCGTTGCTTTTTGCCAAATGTTAAAAAGTAAATGTGTGCCTTTGTGAATAGTAAAACTATCAATAAGCACAACCTCTCGCGACCTCTGACGTGACGTCACATAGTGATCATATGACTGGAAAGTCCCAGGTAGGGACGTGAAACTGAAACCAAAACAACACAGGTGGTAAAGATCGAGGGAGGGAAAAAACAACAGTAAGTAATTTATAATTAAGGTCGACGATATTCTTGAAAATCATACAAAAGCCATGTAGGCGATGATATTATAAGTAACGTAAATTGACATTTGTTGACCATGTGCCAGGTCTTTGGGGCTTTATCAAAGGTCCAATGTGTGACTTGAAAAGGTGCGTTATCGATAGAATAACATCAGTCTGTACCAAATTATTTCAACTCTACTGGCTCGTCAGACTCTTCGGGACAGTCAGAGAATCAACTGAACCAGAGCAGTGACTAGTAACCGAACAAAGTTTTACTGAAATTCTACATGTAGGCCTACTGGTACGGTGTGAAGACAATGGTAGTCCTAGGAATGGAAGTCCGGGGTCACATATGATTAGTACAAGTTAGTCTTAGTCGGAGTATTGGGGCTGGTATATGAGACGAATGTCACCCGTACAAAGTAATTGGAAACGGACTACGGATCTTAGTGGATTTCCATTCCTGTCCCAGTGGGTGTTTGGCGCAGAACCAGTGTTAACGCCACAGATTTCGCTGCAGACTTTGTCCGGTAGTAAAGCACACGGCACAAACGGACCTAGTTTATAATTTTCATTTGTTTTTTTTTCCTTACATTAATTTGTGTGTTGGAATTTCAGAATGCCCCCCCCCCTCCCCCCTCTGTCTAAGTCTCAGATATTTAATTCAATAATGCTGACAGGCTAGCGCTATGCAAAGTTGAATATTGTTTACCGTACCACGGGCTGCACTTTGTACTTTCAACATTTGTACGGGAAAAAAGACAATTCATATGCAGTTGTCACATCCTATGTAGTCGCTACCCACTACAAGGGCCACAGATTGACTTTTCACAGGATATTCACAGATATGTCTTTAGATAAATAAACGGTCATTTTACTGTTTTTTTTGTTTTTTTTTTCATTTTTCCCCATATTATCTGCCACCCTGGTAGAGGGAGTCGCCGCCTTTATTTTTCTTTTCCATTAATTATTTTAAATCTTTCATACCTTGACTTTCAAATAGCAGTTTGAGGTGGGGAGGGTGGGGTCACTCTTTGAAAGTCGTGAAGGGTGTGGTCGGTTCATGCCCTTTATAAAATCCTCTTTATCAAAGTAACACAATTCAGAACTGGGCCTTTATATAATTAAAGACGTGTCCGGGGAAATGGGAGGGTGCACTGGTTGCAGTAAGCCTTTTTCGGT